TGAGGCTGATGAGTGCAGGCGCCACTGGTCCATCCGACCACCACCAGCAGGCAAGGTGGGTTACATGTCTTGCCCAAGGACACAACTGCAGAATTCTCTGTCTGGAACTGGGATTAAACCTGCAACCAATAACTGCAATAATGAACTGAGCTTATTTGCACTAACTAGCTAACTAACTAACTAACTAGCTAACTAGCTAGCTAACTAACTAGCTAGCTAACTAACTCAATCAATCAATCAAACTTTATTTCAGACAAGGGATATGTCCATAACAAGAATAAAGTAAAAATAAAATAAAAATACAAACACATTCTAATTACAAACCGTATAGGCAGTTGTTCCAATGTTTAAAAAGGACTGAGGAGTACCTCGTGTCACTGTAAGATAAAGATGACAGCGCTCTAACAACAGCGTTAGCTGACAAACTCAGTCGGCAGATGAATTTGTACATGAAGAGCCTCAGAAGCGCATGAAAAGTAGGGATGTTACTCACAACAAACATGTGACTTGCCGAAGTCCATCTAGGGAGCTACATGAGGATTCTAAAAGCATCCTGATAAGCCACTTGAAGCTTTTTCATCACTACCTTACTATAATTGCACCACAAGTGGGCTGTATAGAGAGGAGTACAAAAGGAACGACAGAGGGACACTTTAACAGGATCTGAGCACATGCCAAAGTTACATGCCAGTGTGTTAGCCTGCATGTACAGCTTACCGCATTGCCTCTTAATGTCCTCGTCATCACAGAGGTCACTTCGTAAAATGTGCCCCAAGTATTTTACTTTGCTTACCACTTCGAGGACCTGATTTGTTAAGTTAAAAGATGGAAAATTAAGCTTCAGGTCCCCTTTAGTAGCAGCAATCATAACCACACTGTTTTTAGGGTTAAACAGGATGTCAAATTGCTCACCATACTTAGCACATGCCCTGAGCAGCTGCTGCAGGCCTGCGCTATAGGGAGACATGAGGACTAGGTCATCTGCATATATTAAATGATTTACCAGTCGGTCACCCACCAAGCATCCAGTCTTACTATCAGTCAGAGTAACAGACAGCTTGTCAAGGTACAGGTTAACTAATCTCTCTCTCGCAGATATTCAGCACAGACAATAAATCAAAATTTCCAGCTGTGTCGGTAGTAATTTGTGATTTCTGTTGGGCGCGGTATGTAGTATGACATTGACAAAATTAGTAGAAAACTGCAAACAATTTCCACATACACAACAAAAGAATTTGGATCGTTTCAAAAGCGTCACTAAATGTTTGACTATACATGGCTAAATTGACATTTTGATATCTTCTATAGATTTTCCCAAATCACAGTTTAAGCATTGTGTGTTCGGAAATATTTACCCTTCACGAGGCACACTTTGTTTAAAGGTCAGTGAGTTTTTTATAAAATATGTGATTTGCTCAACCTCTTTATCAACAAACAGGAACAAACTCCGATAAGTCTGAGTAGCGAGGCTTTGCTTTTAAGCTTTGGTTGTCTTTTCTTGCTTGATTTCTTGTTATCAAACAGCTTGATTTCTCTCAGAAAGCAGTGGAGTGCACTTTTCCCCAAAGACTTTGAACCAATAAATTCAACCAAGGACACCAGTTCTGTCCCTCAAAACATCATGCCTTCTGACAAACATTAAAAACAACAATGTCTGTTTTCGACACTAGGTTATTTATTCTTGTTTACCTTATAAACACAGTTTGTATGTTTAAAAGTTAAAGTCCCACTAGTTGTCACACACTGATGTGTGTGAAATTTGTTCTCCGCATTTGACCCATCCCCTGGGGGTGTGGTGAGCTGCAGACACAGCCGAGAACCACATGGTGGTTTAACCCCCAATCCAACCCCGGCCTGGTAAAGTATGGTTTAAGTACACTCAAAGAGACGATGTGAAGTTTTTACTGTTAATCTCTGGACACATCCACCAACACGTTGTTGAAAATGAATAAAATAACGTCCGGTTGTTGAAAAATATTAACAAATTCGTAATATATAACCCCCAAAAATTAGGGCGCAGGTCCAGCGTCTTTGGGGGATGCCATATTAGATGCCACGTTTTCTTCTTGCCAACTCGGGGTCCGGCTCCTGTTGACAACATCGCACTAGACGATTGGCTGGACCTACGGAAGTTACATTACCACGTTCAAAAACATTTAGGCAGTAAGAAATGCAAATTTAATAACACAAATGCTAAAATCTTTCCAAAACCTTTGTTAAAGAACAGAATTGAAAAAGAAATCAAAATATTTTGGCCGGGCAGCAGAGCTGGAAACTACAGTGCCAGAAAACTGGCATCAGCTTTGGATTCTCTGAATGGAATTAACTGAAGGACCATCAGCGTCTGAGTAGTCACGCTGAGGTTGCATGCTTGCTTATTCACAGGTGACAATATTTACCATACTGTTTTTTTTAACTATCAACAGTCACAGCAATATTGTGTAAAACTACCCTGAAATGCTTGTACTGCCCCCTAGCGCCAGTAAACTACACACTAGCTATGATTACATGGGCACAAGTAATTGGAATGAATGTTGTATTAGATCAAAAATTCTTGTAAACATGTCAATCGGAATATTCTGATCCGGTACAGCCCGATCGGAATGAAATTCCCTTCTGATTGAGAGAGGTGGTTTTGTCCGATCATCATGGCAATTGACGTCCATGTACACTCTAATTTAGATTCTTAGAGTAAAATTATGCCCACTGCGCATGAATGCAACTTCGGCGTGATGTCTTTCTGCCTTTGTAGACGCTCAGGACAAGTCGGAAACATGGTGCGAGGAACAGAAGTTATCCTGCTCGCCTCTCCTGTGGTGGAGGAGCTGTGGTGTTATGTGCTGCTGAGCCTGTAGCTTAGTAAAAGTGATCAGTAAAAACAAAAGTATACAGGTAAAAATGCAAAGAAGATCCATAACGGAGACAAAAATGTGAGTCCACAGACAAAGCTAATAAGCTTTGTAAGCGTTGATGCTTTTTTTTACTATTTTTTTTTCCAGGAAAGACAACTCTGCGCATGCTCAATATAATCTGATTGAATGCTTGGTGTGTGTATACCATCGACATATATACTGGACAATTTGTTTTCACAGGCTCCAATTATACGTTTTTGTGCCAAAATGGGAGGTGGCCACCACCATTTTGACCGTGTCACAGGTTCCGTCAAACCCAAACAATTCCACAAAAGGGAAAAGAGGTGGAGCTGAGGGTGGTGCTGTAAGGCTGGGATCAACTGACGACACCCGTCGAACTGAAGCGATGTAGCTACAAGCTAACCCAAAGCTAGCGCGGAGGTGGGCACTAAGCTAATGGAGGTAGCTACCTAGCTACAACTAGAGTTAACTGTGCACAACACTGGAGCTTCTGAGTCAGAGATACGCCGGGCTGACCACTGGGGAGAACCGGGTGGAACACAGAGGTCTCCCGAGAGCTCCACAAGCCAGCAGCCGCGCAGCAGACAAGCGCCGCAGCGATCAGAGATGCGCCGAGCTGCAGCTGAAGGGAGGGGACCATACCGATAGTCGGAACCCAGCTCCACCAACATGTCATATTTCAACCCATTTTCAAAAATGCAGCGTCATGTTAAATCCACTGGGTTTTACCCTGTTACATTTAAATTTCATGGTTAAACAGTACATGTTAAAATCTAAGCTCAGCTCGGCAGTGACCTAAAATACATAAATATGATTTTACTTACCGAAAAAATTGAAGTGGAGACTCCTTGGACGCTCTATTAGAGCAATTAATGCCACAGCAAGTCATTTTGTCCAACAATTGCACAAATAATATCTAAAAAGAATGCACAAACACTAAAACTAATGGTCTAAATTGAGAGACTGAAAATCACAGAACAGTTTTAAGGCGAGGCCGAGGCTCAGACTGAGGCCTTTCCCCGGATCTAGCTCTGCGGTCATGTGGGTCTGATGTTCATTAATTATTCAGAATTTTAGGCTTTTAATACACTTAAACAGAAGAGTGACCAAAAATTCACCCCCCTCAGAGTTGTCATGAGTGTAAACTAGATCTATGAAACTTAAAACATGTTTTGGTACCAGGCTGTAAACATGTTTATTTCTGCTGTGAAATTGGTATTTTTAACATGGGAGTCAATGAGGATTTGCTCGCTTCTGACACCAGCCCCCAGTGGATGAGGGTGGAACTGCAATTTTTGCTACTTCCGGGTTGGCTTCAATTTCAGACTCGCATTGTGGGGGCTTGGTGTATACCCATGGCATGATCGGATCATTTCAGTTAGTGTTCATATAAACAGATATTTGGGATTTCCGATCAACCAAGATTTGAATCTGACTGGCGCATGTAAACATAGCTACTGCCACTTTAAAAGAGACATACTTTTATTTGTTATCAGTTTTTGGTTAATTTTCATAATTTTATAGCAGATCATGCCATGGTATGGCTCAAAAATGGTTTGGTTCCTTTTTACTCATTCATTTCCACTAAACTGTGATCCAGTCATTCTGTATTTTTTTCAATTACTGAATAGTTCAGAAGTGCAACTAGATTTCCTTCCTGTGTTTGTATTTTTTATTAGATAATTTTAGTCTGCTTGGATAAGTCCTAATAAATATGATTTAAACAATTCTACAGTCGGCAAAAATAACCTTTTCACTGAACTCTTTTCAGAAGATTTGAATCACTTTAAGACTCACCGAGGCTTTTCGTGACTTGTTTAAAAATAAAACACCAGAATGAGGTTTCACCCATTGACTACGCATGTTGTCTTTGCAATAAAGCTGCTGAAACTGTTCAGGTAACTGCCGTTTAGTGTTTGATTGCATCAAGGTGTGTGTGTGTGGGTGTGTGTGTGGGTGTGTGGGTGTGTGGGTGTGTGTAGGTGTGTGTGTGTGTGTGGGTGTGTGGGTGTGTGGGTGTGTGTAGGTGTGTGTGTGTGTGTGTGTGTGTGTGTGTGTGTGTTAACTCTTCTAAATGAATCGCCATTTGTTGACACTAAGACATAAGTCACATTCCTGAGATCCAGCTGACAGTCTGCATGTGACACACACATGCTTAAAGGTTAGCAATTTATTATAAAGTTAATTGCAAATAGAAAAAAAACAAATAAATGCATTGTTTTAAAAAAATACAAAAGTTAGCTAGCTTACACAAACTTATCTAAACACAGTGTGGCATCACAGTGGAAAAGGCTGATAAAACATTCAGATGCCTTTGGGGGAGTGCTGCAAAGGCTACAAGAGGCTGATGCACTTTGACCAATACTGTTAACACAACCTAAACACCAAGTTGTGTACAAGTTGCGTCTGCACAAAGGATCACTTGTGAATGTAACAAAGTCCAGAATTGACAGAAGGCAATGTTTGCTTAATTAGTTCAACACAATTGAATTATCAAAAATATAAGAACTGCTAATTCATTATTTCATCTGTTAGGGGAAATTCAAGAATAAAAATATTTCTGTTTGATCTCAAAAATATATACACAAGACTAGGTACAACACAAATAATGGCACTTGACGGGTCATTTGCTGTAATCGGTTGGCTCGTCTCCGTCTTCCTTGAGCAAACACGTGCGCACCAGCGCCTGCGTGACAGCATAAGGGTCACAGTTGGCAGATGGACGGCGGTCCTCAAAGTAGCCTTTCTTCTCTTGACCCACTAAGCGAGGGATACGGATGCTAGCACCACGGTTGGCCACGCCAGCAGAGAACTCGCTGATGTTTGAGGTTTCGTGATGACCGGTGAGACGTCTGGCATTGTCGAGCCCACCTTTTGGGTCATAGGCCCGGATGTGATACATGTGTCTCTTTCCCAGCCTCTCGATTGAGTCCTCAATGACTCTGTGAAAAATAAGACAAGTTACGAGCCTGCCCGTACCCCCCCCCCCCCCCCCCCCCCGTTATCAAAACGTTGAAAAGTTCAAATTGATTCTTACTTTAGTCCGTCTTCCTCACGCATCATTTTTGTGCTAAAGTTGGTGTGGCAGCCGGCACCATTCCAATTCCCTGAGATCGGTTTAGGATCGAATGACACAATGACGCCAAAGTCCTCACAAACTCTGTGAAGGATGAAGCGAGCGATCCACAGATGGTCGCCCATGTTGATACCTTCACATGGTCCGACCTGGAACTCCCACTGAAACACAAGTATTACCATTTTAACTGATGACTAACCCTCTTACTAGGCTTTATTAATTAATTAATTATACTTGGCGTAATCTCGTTATGAAGTTGCTGTAAAATCTCTGACACAACAAGTCAGTGACTCAATGCAATCTGCCAGGTTCCTTAAGTAGGAAACTTAGCTAATTGGCATGATGAATTTAACTCAATTGGATTGTCTTGTTTTGTGAAATGCCTTGAGATTGAGATAAACAGAACAGAATTGAAAAAGTACCTGTGCAGGCATGACTTCAGCATTTGATCCACCGACATGAACCCCAGCGTACAGACAGGCTCGATAGTGTGCCTCCGCTATATCTCGTCCGTATGCCTTATCTGCTCCCACTCCACAGTAATAAGGCCCTAATAGGATGAGAATAATACCAGGATTCAAATGTCCCCATAGAACAACAATGAGTCTCTTCTAAAAGCTGACACTCACCTTGTGGACCTGGGAAGCCATTGGAGGGCCATCCAAAGGGATGTCCATCTGTGCCCAAGATAGTGTACTCCTGCTCCATTCCAAACCATGGGTGGTGGTCCTCCACCATGCTCATGATCTGTTTGCAGCTGTACCGCAGGTTTGTCTCTGTTAGACAGTACTGAAGGTTAGATGAAACCTAAGCCAACATCAGACAAATGTTCCCTGCTGCTCACCTGCTGGTTTACGATTGTATTTCAGGACTTCACAGAGCACCAGCTTGTTGGGATCTCTTCTGAACGGGTCCCTGAACATGGCTGCAGGGATTAGAAACATGTCACTGTTGGATCCCTCTGACTGGTACGTGCTTGAGCCGTCAAAGTTCCACTCGGGGAGATCTGATAAAGAAAAGTAAAATAAATTCACAACCAGCCTCACAGTTTGATGTAAACATTCACACAGGACCTACGTCTTACCCTCTATTGTCTTGGGCTCACGATCCAAAGTTCTGGTCTTGCATCTCAGTCCCTCTCCTGTCCCATCTATCCATATATACATGGCTTGAACCTTCTCCCCCTGAGGGAGATCCATGTACTGCTGCTTAATAGATTTGCTCAACTTTGAACTCGCTGACGTAGACATCATCTTGATCCTAAAATCTACAAAGAGTACATGTGATAGGATTCCTGTTTACACCTGTATCTGCGTACATTTCTAAGATAAAGGAGAACACAGTTTGGAAAAATGTGCAGCATTAAAAATTAACATCTACTTTTTGTCAAAATCAGGTATGAAATATGTATTTTCTTTTCTACAAAGTGTATTTAGTTTATTATAATATTATGCTAAAATGTGCCAACTTTATTCACCTGTTATTGTTATCTAATCACATGAGATAAAAGTATTAGTATATAGTTTTGAAATGTTTT